CGAAACTACCGACCTACCCCTCCCCTAACTCAAAGTTAACATTTACTTCTCACCCAAGGCAAAATGTTGGCTTATGGGAGGGGCAGGAGGGCAGTTTCCCAGAAAGCTACATTTTTCTGCCTTTTATTCCTGTCTTTGATTTCTTTCAAGCAAAAAAAGGTCAGGTGTGGTTTCACTGGATCGATATTTGGGAAGAAAGATGAGGTGGTTTAGTCACAGGGAGTTGTTACGACGTATCTGTTTAAGGGGAGTTACGCAAGCACAGTGAGAACTTAAGAATTCCCGTGCACAGTCACACGGACCGAAGCTCCACGTTTTCGAAGCGAAACTAAAATAGGTAGACCTAGTCATATACGTGTCTTGATGCAGACTTTCCTGTAGAACATTTAAATTTCCTGGCCAAATGATGGGATCCTGAGTTTGCCTAACTCCCTCAAAACGGCGTCAAGGTTATTGGGTAAAATAAACCTTTTAAAGAAGTATTTAATATACAGTCAGAATTTAAAGTTTTTGTGGAGACGTTTCGAGACGAGCGTATTTGCCTATGTGGTGTCACAAGGTTTTTGTGGCTTTTTATTGGTTTAAAAATGAAAGAAAAATTCTTTTAGTTTTTATCTGTCATTCTTTCAGTTTTAATGGCCATATATCACCATATATTTTTTCAGTTTATTTTTAATCTCTCTTCGACATACTGTCAATCATACTTCTTTTGTTATCCATTCCTTATCTCCAAAAGGAGCACAGCTGGATTATTTTAGAAAATTTTTACAGGTAGTAAGACCTTTGTAGTATCATCGAGAATTTTATTAATTTTTATCTTTTTTGGGCTTGTTAACGCTCATTTGCAATTCTAGAATACAATCTTATGACTTTAACTTTTTCTGTTAGTTGAGCAGAAGAAACAGTTGAGATCACAGGTAAAGGTATAATTACGTTGGTTAGAAGATTCAGTTATTTTCCCTGCCAATAGAAGTCACTGACGGTGCGAGAAAAATAAGAGGAAAGAGAGAGACCCCCTCCTTTCATTTTTCTCGTGTCGTGAGAAACCTTAGTCTGCTACATAGCCCGTTTTTAGAGTCGTCACGCAACGCTCCTCCCCACAAGGGGGGAGGAGACTGTGTAGCAGACTAGAGAAACCTCTCCTAGCAAGGAACCGGTTATGACGTTAAGTGGGCTATGTCACGCTCTTTGCTATCCTTTCAAACAGCTAAAACGTTTTTGGTACCAATTGAATGCCAAAAATAATGGTCCAGTTTTGTTATTTAAGACTATATTAAGGCAATGAAACTGTTTTCTGTTGTCTGTTGCAACAGATGGCAAGCATTGACATGGATTGAAACTTAAAAAGGTTGGGCCAACTTTTACGAGTGTTAATGCTATGCCTGCAAAAATCGCCAAAAATTATTTTTGTCCCTGGTAGCATTTGTTTGATATCTTCTCCTTAACTGTACAGGAGGATTTTGTGTTTGGAAGAAGATACTAAGTAACGACTTTAGCACAGAATTGACCGTAAAAGAAGCAATATCCTCGTGACATAGCCGCCTTAACCCTTTAAGCCCCAATTGATGCACATACAAATTCTCCAAACTGTTCTCTATACATTTTACTAAAGAATGTGTTGAGAGAATTTGGTAAACGATCAAGGCATTTTTTCTTAGGTTATCATTTTATTAAATCTCATAACCTTATCTCTTGACAATGTATGGATTTTGCTAGGAGAAAATTGATGTTGGTCACCATTGGGACTTAAAGGGTTAGAGTTTGAAACGGTTGATCCAATTGTTCGACTTTAAAGTTTAGTTCCCGCGTTTTTGCTTTTATTTATTTATTCTAAAGTTTTAGCATTTGCAGTCTCTTTTCCAAGGTTTTCTATGTGAGCAGAGGGTCCCACCACCAGATGGAAAGAATGACTGTAATAACAGGCATTTGAAAAAGTTATGAAAAATAGTACATTTTGAAAGAAGTTTACTTTTTGGGAGAAATACGATGGTTTATTTATTTATTGAATGGCAAACTGGGAAAAAAAATTGGGGAAAATATATTATACAATGGGTAATAGCTCTTTGTCAAGTCTTAAGATGAGAAGTTCCAAAGTTCACGCATTATTGTATGGTTATATCGCGCGTAAAGGAATGACGCACGCTTTGGTTTGT